CAAAATTAATTGTTTGATACGAAATGCTAATGAAAAGTTTAGCTCACTCAAAGAACTCGCCGGTTTGCAAAGAGTTTTACTTTGCATTAATGTAATTGGTTTCTAAAGACTGTAAAAGGCTTGACTTGAGCTCAAACATATTTATAGCTTTGTCTCTTTTTCTCAACACTCTTTTACTGTTATTATTACATATGTAAAATGGTTCGTTCGTCCGAATACGTTAAAATGAGACTTCTTCATTTCTTCAACTCTAACTCTAAGATAGCGGATACCGTGAAGAGTTTACAACAAGAAGGTATCCCTATAAATCGCAATACAGTGGCTAGGCACTTTAAGAAGTTTCGAAAGGATCTGTCTCTTCGCGACAAGTCAAGCCCTGGTCGTCCGCCAATTCTTTCAGAACGGTATTACCGTTATTTTGAATTCATTGACGACAAAATGATGGAAAATGATGAACTGATTGTAGAAAAGCAATGTTTCAGTTTCTATTCTGCATTTCAATACCTTTTTTCTTTGTTTACAGGACTTCAAAAACTCCTAAGGCAATCGTTCAATATCAACCCCTCCGTGTCGGTCATTAAGAGAGTCCGTGCTAAACTTGGTTGGGTTAAAACCGGCCCTAAGTACTGCCAGGTAGTAAGGGAGGCAAATCGTCAAAAGCGTCTCGAATTTTGCCAAAAATGCACACAAACTAACGAGACCTTTGACGATGTGATTTTTACGGACGAATCAAGCATATGGCTCKAAAGGCATGCAAAGGTTTGTTTCCGTAAAAAGCACATGCCTCCTAAACTAAAACCTAAAGTGAAACACCCCTTCAAGGTCCATGTTTGGGGTGGCATATCTAAACGTGGGGCCACGACACTTTTGACTTTCACTGGTATCATGGAAAAGTTCTTTTTCACGTACGATATTCTTGGCGATACTCTTCTTCCTTTTATCCATGAAAAATTTCCTGATGGCCACAGATTTCAGCAAGACAATGACCCAAAACATAGGAGTAAGTCTCTGATCATTATTAAATGTATTTTGAATGATTTTTTAACTTTTTCACTTTTTATCCGTAGGTAAGTTAGCACTGGACTTCTTAGACGATAATGACGTGAACTACTACGAAACCCCAGCAGAAAGCCCAGACCTCAACCCCATAGAAATGCTGTGGCACGAGATGAAGCACTTCTTGCGAAAAGATGTCAAGCCTAAAAACAAAGAAGAACTGCTTGCCGGAATTCAGTCATTTTGGAAGTCCGTGACTCCTGAAAAATGCCAACGATACATTGGACACCTCAAGAAAGTGGTACCAAAAGTCATAGAGAGAGGAGGCAGAGCTTCAGGATACTGAAAGTTCCTGTAAACAAAAATACCGCTTTTTTAGAGCGCAAGTTAACAAAACAACGGCTCTATTAAGAGCCACCAATTGACTCAATAGTCATGACAATGCTTAACTATGGATTAACTTAATTTATCATATAATTATCTATGAAATATCTATATTTCTCCATTACGTAAAATTGATATTTTCACTAGTGAAAATAACATGTTATTTTCACTAGTGAAAATAACAAATTCGAGGTTTCTCTATATACATGTAGTGGAAGTAAGAAAAAAGGTATTTTACGACATAATATGCCCCCTCCAAAACCTCTTCTCTGCGATTGTTGACGTAATCTTATAATAACATTATATGAAGAAAAGCATTATATCTCAAGTAAATATAGGAAGTAAAAAGGATTAATAAAATCTTRTTGCGATCAACGGACGGGCATAGCAGTGTCTTTGATGTTTTTGTTTCATAACTTTTATTTGCATATCAAGTGGATATTCCCTTTGAAGTTTTCAGGCGCGGCTCAGCAATAATGCATGTGGATGTGTGATTGCAATTGGACTTCATTTATTTGAAATTGCKGTGTTGATATCGACAATGGCGTCACCTTCAGGAAGCATTTTAGATACAGTGAACGACGTACGTTTGAACCTTATAGAAGAMATTGCGGAACTTGAAAGTGAATTAAAAAAAGCTATCAGTAATGCCAACGTTGGACCTGAAGCACCTTCTTCGCATATCGATGAATTGTTTGCAGTGATAGCGAACTACCTAGAGTTTGAAAGAAAAACAGAAACATCCCWGGCAAAATTGGATAGCTTGGAGGAGAAACTACGAAAGTGAAACTCTACATGAACTTCGATGAAAACCGGCTTTTCTAAAAGCCAACAATTGAAGGCCCGGCAACAGAAACGGCTAAAGTGACTTTTTAGGGTATTTTTGAAATTTTCGAAAAATTGACAAAAAATCGCTTCAATCATTTGTTTCTGGTCTAAATAATCATGTTTTCTAGTTATTTCTCGTGATTTCCTTTTAAAAAGCGGAAAAATGTCGACATTTAGTTACGGACTGTACCCTCCCCTCCCCCCAAACTTTAGCATAGGGTTAGTTCCAGCCTTATACAAGAGTTAGGGTTCCTAAAGCCTACGACAGGGGCTAGGGTTCCTTGATTTAGCGTTAGGGCTAGAATGGTTAGGGTTTAGGCTAGGGTAGGGTTAACGTTAGCGTTAGGGTTAGGGTTAGGCTCTAAAACCTGAGTTTGTAAAGCAAACAAACTTCCCCACCTCCCCTCCCCCCCGAGTCCAAACTTTGAAGTTTGTATAAAATCACTTAAACAGCATTGATGACTGAGCTACTCAGTTTGACATTGAAAAGGCAGTTAAGCGGCAGTTGAAGTCACAAAAATTCAGCGAAAACAAGGGCAGTTTTGACTTTAATTCTCGCCTACAGTGACCAAAAAGCACTATTTTCTTGTCTTTTTTTCCTGCAAAATTCTAGATTTCAAGAAGCGAATGACTGTTTGTACCCAATTTTAGTCCTAAATCTGTCATTTAAGCGTTTTATTTTTCAAATTTTCCATAAAGATCTCATGCTACGGCTTTCTCTTTGGACACTGATTCAGAACACGTGTTTTAACCGGATTTTTGCACGCAATGAATTCTGGGAAAAATCTACTGACGCCGTGAGCAACGATTCCGTCCAATCTCAAATAGAAATTTATATAAAGTCTACAGCCTTCTCGGAAATCTGCCAAAATTTCAAGTCGCTTTTGTTCCTCAATAGCCAAAACATCCAAAAATTACCGTGGCAGCTCCAAGGATTTGCCTTTAGACGGTCTTTTAAGTGATTCTCTTCAAGCGACTGTCCGAGTTAATCGAATGAACCGCGGAATCAAAATCGCTTAAAAAGTCACACGCCAAGCTGGATTCTTTCAGCAAGTAAGCTCCTTCGCTACCTACAAACTTAATGATGTCCGTAGAGTAGTGACTAAAGGCAAAAAGGCTRAGAAAACCGCGAAAAAACTCATTTCTCGACTTCTTTCAGCACAGCTTCGAACCAAAACAAACCGACAAACCAACTGTCAAAGTCATGAGTTTAGCGCGAATATGCTAATCTARGATATTTTACGGTCTAGCGATCAGTTGTCAAGCCAAAGAAGTCCGTAACTATGGGTCTTTTTTTTACTCTTTTAAAAAGAAATCAGGACAAATAAGTGCTAAATAAGAGTATTTATACTGAAAATTAGTGATTGAAGTCAATTGAAGTGGTTTTTTTTTAATTTATCGATAATTTCAAAAATTCCCTAAAAAGTCACTTTAGCCGTTTCCGCTGCCGCCCCTTCAATTAATAAAATTGTCATGATCAGAGTGCTTTATTGATCTATATTTTCGATGAAATACATGTTACGTAAGGGTTTAGATTTTGAGTGTTTGGCTGGTAAAATATAGGAAATTCGGTTTACTATATAATAACTGAGTCGACGAACTTCTCTTTGTTTTCGAAAAAACGTATATTAAAGATTTCAGCTCATAATGTTAATAAATACTTGATTTTTGTTTTAAAAGCGGCTTTTTGGAATTAAATTTTAGTCGCTTGTAGATTTCAATTGCATTTGGCACGAGAGGTGAGAGAGTTATTTGTGATTGTTATCAAATTCTAATAAGTTGAAATTAGAACCCATGGACTACGATCAAAAAGTTTTTTGAAACTGATTTTGGACCTGCTTGCCTTGTTAGCATGTGTTTGTGACCCTCTACATGTTTTTTTTTTCGTGTTTTATTTTTCATCAAAATAAATGCCGCGCATCTTATCATAACATCAAATCTTATTCGCCCAGACATTTTTACGTTCAATAAAACTTTCACAGGCAAGTAGGGAAAACAATTGAAACCGCAAAAAACTAGTATTCTCTGTGTGAATAAAAAGRCCRAAAAAAATTGCATCGTTGTTTTAGCCAGTGCTCTTATTAGTCAATACATTGTTCGATCAATATACATAACCACGGTCATTTCGTCTTGACCGCGTTACGCATCCAAGCTTACTTATACAGGCCGCGATCGATAACGCGTCCAGACTGTAACGCGTCCAGGTCGCGATCTAATGCGTCCAGGTCGCGTCCATTAGACGCGTCCAGGTCGCGAAACTGCCGCGTCCCAATGCTTCAATGATTTCAGGCGGTACTGTATGTTTGTGGTTGGTCCAGTGAGGAAGAGAGCGAGAATTGATTAATTATAATTATAATAAAATTCATTTATACATGCAGTAAAACAACACAACACATCTGAGAAGAAGGAAACCCATTTCATTGACAGTTGTAATGAACATCTGATAAAGTATTCATTTGATCTGTTTTGGCCAATTTTTGATGATACTCTAACTCTGTTTCAGAAGTTTGGTGTTTTACTGTATATGCCATAATTTAATGATGAACTCAACTTGTAAATGTAA